TTTTTGGTGTCATTACAATCGGGAAAAGATTCTCTACCATTTCATAAGAAAAAATAAAATTATTTTTTGAAAATTCTTGGACACTGGTGTGCACTTTGAAATTTGGCCTCTGGACCCTGAAAGGGTTAAGGTGCAAATTTACACTATGTATGATAATTGTGCCTAAATAACACATTTTATCCATGAGTGGGTCTTTTCTAGTTGACTATCAAAAGTACTTGAAAAGTACTTTGAGTACACTACTATAAAAAGTGTACGGAGGCATATGATATGTACTGACAAGTTGTGGAAAAAAAATGTATTTCTAGTGACCAAGGTCCTAGGACCAAAATATTTCCACAATATTTTTAAAAGCCAACACATGGGTGAAATGTACCAAAAAGAAGGATAACATCAACCCTCCATGACTCACAGCTGCTGTCATGTTAGAAAATATGAGATTTTGCTGGGGGTCAAACCATGGATACTTAGTATGAGAGATGAGCATGCTATCTTAATCTGTCTTAATCTACCCTTAGTACTGTGGTCAGCTATTTAGAAGGAATTGTGTGGGTTATTCCTGTCATATTTTTGGTGGGTCTTAGAATGTTGAATTCTGCTGTTCATACCTCTCCTCTCCAAGCAAGCTTGCTACATGCTCTTATATTCATTATATTCTTATATATCAGCCCTCTTTAATCTCTATATATGAAGCTCTTCAAGCCCAGTATGAGAAGAGCTAATATAGAATTGGAATTCAGTTTAGATCATTGTTTTTATGCCAGTCTTCCTGGAAATCACAAAACCACCCTATTCCTAGAGTTGTTGTCCCTGATTCGTTAAACCACCTAACAGTTATCTCCACCAGTTAAGCCACCCTTTCTTCCCTTACAAGTGTGTCATTCCACCATTTGCACAGTTCTTTAACCCTTTGACTGTCGTGGCCGTATATATACGTTTGCAAGGTACCGTGTTTGACGTATATATACTCATAAATTCTAGCGGCTTCAAATCAGGCAGGAGAAAGCTAGTAGGCCCACATGTGAGAGAATGGGTCTGTGTGGTCAGTGTGCACCACATAAAAAAAATCCTGGAGCACGCAGTGCATAATGAGAAAAAAAAAACTCCGACCGTTTTTTTTTAATTAAAATGCCGACTTTGTGGTCTATTTTCGTATAGTATTTGTGGTTGTATTCTCGTTTTCTTGGTCTCATTTGATAGAATGGAAACTATATTATAGAAATGGAGGTGATTTTGATTAATTTTACTATAAAAAGAACCTGGAAATGGAGCACAAAGTACAGGAAATGTTTGATTTTTGCCGATGTTCAAAAGTAAACAAATGATGTCATTGTCCAATAAATGTCCAAATAGCCATTCTAATACGCAGTCATGAATGGGTTGATGTAATTTTTACAATTATTACAGTATTGCAGTAGTCTGCATAACAGTAAATCTTTTTTTTTTGTTTGAATAAAATTTCAAAATAAAAAGCAAGAGTAATAATCACAGGGAACTGGAGACATGACTGATGAACAAAGAAAATGTTATTTTAGAGCCAGGAATGTCTGCATTGTTCATTCTGGACCTTATTTTGAAATTGTTGTATTTTTTAATTTTCGTGAAATTGGCCAAATTGCAAATTTCTGACCATGTTATTGGGTAGTTGAAATCGGTAAATGGGCAGTTTCTTGTACTCAATCGATAGAAAAAATAGAGTTCTGAAGAAATAGTTATGAGTTTGGTTGACTGGAATAACGGAATTAGCCGAAAATAGGGCTCAAAGTGGGCGAAATTGCCGATTTTTAAATATCGCCGAAGTCGCTAACTTCGCGAGAGCGTAATTCCGTCAGTTTTCCATCAAATTTCGTTTTTTTGGTGTCTTTACAATCGGGAAAAGATTCTCTATCATTTCATAAGAAAAAATAATTTTTTTTTTTTTTTAAATTTTGCGACACCAGGAGACACCTCAGGATTTGGGGTTGCGACAGTCAAAGGGTTAAGTCTTGTTGAGGAGGAGTTAAAATAGAGCCCAGCACTCTAGTCACTTTCCTCAGCCACTCGTCTAGCTACTGCTCGCTCAATCAACACTGACTTTCCTATTGGAATTGGAGACTCCAAAACCTGAAAAGTGTAGTACATACGTTGATCATTGGTCAGGTCACATTTACTTATTTTAAGGAAGGAGCACAACATGTGACCTAGTAGCACAAGCTAGTCAGGTTCAACTCACACCCACCCACACCCACCCACACCCACCCACACCCACTCATATATTTATCCAACCTATTTTAAAACTACACAACGTCTTAGCTTCTATGACAGTACTCGGGAGTTTGTTCCACTCATCCACAACTCTATTACCAAACCAGTGCTTTCCTATATCCTTCCTGAATCTGAATTTTTCCAATTTAAAACCATTGCTGCGAGTCATGTCTGTGCTAGATATTTTTAGCACACTATTTATATCTTCTTTATTAATTCCTGTTTTCCATTTATACACCTCAGTCATATCCCCCTAATTTTATGCCTTTCTAGAGAGTGCAGATTTAGGGGCCTCAGTCTAACCTCATAGGGAAGATTTCTGATACATGGGATCAATTTTATCATCCTCCTTTCTACGTTTTCCAGTGCATTTATATCCATTCTGTAATACGGTGACCAAAACTGCCCAGCATAATCTAAATGAGGCCTAACCAAAAATATATAGAGTTGAAGAACACCCTGAGGACTTGTATTATTTATACTTCTTGTTATGAAGCCAAGGATTCTGTATTGCGAACACTTATGCACTGTTGTCTTGGTTTCAGATTACTGCTAACCAGAACTCCTAAGTCTTTTTTGCAATCCGTAATATTAAGATCAACATTATTTAGTTTATATGTGGCATGGTTATTTTCCTGTCCAACATTTAGAACTTTGCATTTGTCTGTATTAAACTGCATCTGCCACTTCTCTGACCACTGCATCAGTCTATTCAAATCATCCTGGAGTGCTCTAATGTCCTCATTAGAATGAATTGGACGGCCTATTTTGGTGTCATCAGCAAATTTGCTGATGTCGCTATTTATTCCCTCATCTCTGTCGTTTATGTAGATTGTGAACAACAAGGGGCCTAACACTGACCCCTGTGGAACATTGTTTATGACATGCCCCCATTCTTATTTCTCCCCATTTATGAAAACTATCTGCTGCCTATTTGTCAACCATACCTCTACCCAGGAAAAAATTTCTCCTATTCCGTGTGCCTTAAGTTTTCTCAACAGCCTCTGATGTGGAACTCTATCGAAAGCCTTACTGAAGTCCCTATACACAGTATCACATTCAGTACCATGATCTACCTCCTCAATTACCTTAGTGAAGAAAGTTAGTAAATTCATATGACAGGAATGCCCCTTTGTAAAACCGTGCTGAGATTCATTAATCAATTTATACCTTTCAAGATGGCTTCAAATTGCTTCGGCAGTTATTGATTCCATCAGTTTACCAACTTTTGGTCTATAGTTTGAGGCTAAGGACTTGTCACTTGCCTTGTAAATAGGTATTTCATTTGCCATTTTCCACTTGTCTGGCACTATACCAGTTTGTAGTGATATATTGAAAAGATTAGCCAAAGGTATGCTAAGTTCCTCTTTATAGTCCTTCAAAACTCTTGCAAACAGTTCGTCAGGGCCTGGGGATTTGTTAGGTTTTAATTTGTCTGTTTGTCTGAGGACCATGTCACTAGTTACCCTAATCATGCATATTTTATTATCGTCCTGTTCTTCATAATTTATTATTTCTGGAATTTTGCTAGTATCTTCCTGAGTAAAAACTGAGAGGGAGTAGGTAATGAAAAGTTCACACATTTCCTTATCACTGTCAGTGATCTGACCTGAGTTCTTTGTAAATACGTTCTTTGTAAATACATACAGGACAATAGAGCAACAACAGTGCCATATGAATTTGATTACCATACCTTTACTCTTCTGTATATATTTGGCTAGTTGTTGTTGTACAGGCGGGCCCTGCTTTACATCACTTCACTTTACGGCATTTCACTAATGCACTGGTTTTCAGCTATACCCACTCTTCATTTATTCAGACTTCCTTCAATAAATATGTTCACCACTCATTATAAGCTAAGGACAGAAATATTTTAAGGTAAGTAATGTGTGTAGTGTACAGTGGTACCCCAAGTTTCAAACTTATTTCACTCCAGAATGCTATTCGAGTGCCAATACCAAACGAGTTTGTTCCCAAAGGAATAATGTAAATTAGATTAGTCCTTTTCAGACCCCCCAAAATACACTTACAAATGCACTTACACAAATATACTTACATAATTATTTGAGTTGGGAGCAGTTTGAAACTCAGGATACCGCTATATATGAATTTTTTAGGCCTAGCTGTATTGCTCACTTTATATATGATAGTGTATACATATTATCAGTCTTTTATATGCAAGTGAAAAAAGGCAATGTTTCATCTTACAGGAATTTTTGCTGTATGGCAGTAGCCCAGAACCTAACCTGTTATAAGCAGGTCCCTCCTGTACCTATATGAAACTGCAGAGACAAGGGAGGAAGGAAGGGGGTGGTGTCCAGGGGTTGGATTTCTGGGAAGATTTAGAGGTGTTTCTCCTGAGCGTGAATAGGGGAAGGTAATCTCTAGTAGTGACTGGTGTATTGGAGGTGTCCTTCATCATTCAGTAGGGTTTAGGCCAATGTGAGATTTGGTGGATGGAAATGATTTGGTGGGGAAGGATGGGTGAAAATAAATGTCCTGAGTGTGGGTAGAGAGACATGCAGAATGTAGGGGGTAATTTCACATCTTGTGTTCTGTTCAATCCCTGCACTTCTGTTCTGCACTGACTGGGGAATTGTTCAAGTTTTCTGAAAGTTTATTCTTTACTATCAACATATGTTCTAAATATGTGAAAAATTTAAAAGGTTTTGCTGTATAGATATACATATACCATTTTCTATAATGTTTAAATACTTTTCTCAGTCAATGACATAATTGGATGTGTTTATTTGCAGATGTCAAGTTCATTTGTGAAAGATTGTTCTGATGTATCAGCTCCAGGAAACTCAAATTCTGGGAAAACAGTGATCATCATTGTTAATAATGAAACTGGTAATGTTTCATTAGATGATGATGAACTACAGAACCTACTTGGTAAGTATTATTATTATTATCATTATCAATCATTATTCTTATTATTATTATACGGATTTATTGGGCATGTTTTAGTTATTGCACTACTGAAAAATTGGGGCATAATTTTATACACCACTTTGTAAAATTAACTTAACACGTTTTGGTTTGTGAGAGGGAAAAAAATTTGGAGGGACTCTGACTCCAACCTGGCAGTACCAAGCTTCTGGAATAAATTTAACATTGCAGATGCCATCAGCTATGCTAGAAGTGCATGGACTGAAGTCCCCCAATCGGCATTAAATGCAGGCAGGGGAAAGTTATGGCCTTCTGTAGTTAATTCTTTCACTGGTTTTTCTCTTGCTTGAGAGTCAGGTTCAAGAAATTGTTCAGCTAGCAAGGAAATTACAAGGTGATGGCTTTGAAGATATGAAGGAAGAAGATGTGAATGAGCTCTTAGAAGATGATGATGAAGACAGGAGTCCAGAGGAAATGTTGCCAGAGCTCAGTGCACGGGTACAAGGGATCCAGATAACAGAAGATGATGAAGAAGAACCTAAAGAAAAACAGTTAACATTGCAGCAATTATGTGAGCAGTTCCATGTTGCTGCTAAACTAGCAGACTTTTTCACTGAAGAGGACACTTAACAAATCTAGCAGCAGTGCTTTGAAACAGTAACATCGACTGGTAGAATGACCTAGATGTCAAACCTCGATATTGATGAATGTGTTAATATTTTTTTACAAAAAACCCAAAACTTCTATAATATGCATTGCCCAGTAAAAACTTTAGCAGATCACAGCAAAGAGACTAAACAGCCCCTGGCTTACAAGCAGCATCCTCAGATCTATTGATAAAAAACATCTATATGAAAAACAGTACAGAATGGGTCTAATAACAAAGGATCTGGCAAAATGTTACTCATCATTACTTATCTAATAAGGAGGTCAAAAAAACTGTATTATGAAACCAGATTTCATGACATAAAAGGTGATATGAAAAAGACCTAGAAAACTATATCTGAAATTCTAGGATCTAAAAAGCTGTCTTGCAACAGAGTGATTAACTTAACATAACCAGAAGAACCTCTCCTCCAGCCAACAAATACTGCAAACAAACTTAATGCCTTTTTCTCAACCAGAGCAGCAAGTAAAAGCCTAAACACAAATATTCAGCCAAAAGACAACCTCACTGGTAACTACTCAATTACTTTTATTTCTAGCCCCAACAAACCCAACTGAAATATCGCTCATCATCAAAACACTAAAGAACAAGACAAGAAACCTAAACAACTTACCACCACTCATGTATAAAACAGCTTCTCATTTGTTGTCACCAATTATTGCTACTCTTTTTAACAAATCCATTCAATCTTCCACCTTCCCATCCATACTCAAGACGGCAAGGGTCACCCCGATCCTCAAAAGAGGTGATCCAACAGAATTGAACAACTATAGGCCTATATCAGATTTGCCCCTGCTATCTAAAATCTTTGAAAAATTAATTCACAAGCAAGTCTACTCCTACTTAGCATCCCACAACATACTTAATCCCTGTCAGTTTGTATTTAGACCGAAAAAAGTACTAATGATGCAGTTATACATATAGAATTCATTACCAGAACACAGTCAGTGGTTGGCACAGCTAACTGAAAAGTTAGCTTTGCTTACTGCTAATCTGCTGACTAAAAAATTAGCTCCTCTAGCGCTAAGCCGCCGAAAACTTTTTCACATGAATTCAGATTCAGTTTAGTTTTTTATTCTTTTACTTTTAAGACTTCTAGAACAGACCTGGAGAGCTTTGTAATAAGATATAGAATGCCAAGGTTATATGATGATCAAGTGCCGCTAGTGCGAAAATAGCAGTTGTTTAATTTTGTGATGTAACGCAAGCGACTGCCAAGGACACTTGTCGCTGTACTGAAGCCCCATAGTACCCCGACAGATTGAGTTAACTTATTTGACTGTTTTCTTCATTAGTTCCATTTACTCATTGTATTCATTAATTTTATTGTGTCTGTTCATGTTTGCATTTAATTCAGAAAACTATAAACAAGTAGTTGAAAATCATCCTTAAAGTTGAAACCTTATACAAATACAAATACAAACAATTATTTCCTTGTAAAGCTTACAATGAGTGGTTTACATGTTATGAGATTTAACCCCTAAACGGTCCAAATGTATATATATATTCTCCCCCCCAGGGCCCCAAATATTTTGAAAAATAAAAAAATAGTTTTTTTCATTGAAATAAAGAGAAAAAATTTATAAGTGTTATATGATTAAAATAAAAAAAATTACAGTCAGTACTTATTGAGATATGAGGCTGCAGAGTTGGCACTTAACCCTTTCAGGGTTCATGCCGTAGTTCTATGGCTTTGAGTAGCTCTACGCCATGAGCTCAGCTCACTCTGATAAGCTGTGAGTGGTAAATTTAGGCCTAGATATGAGAGAATACATCTATGTGGTATGTGTGCACCGCATAAAACAAATCCTGCAGCACACAGTGCATAATGAGAGAAAAAACCGAGACCGTAATTTTCGATTAAAACAGCGACTTTGCAGTGTTTTTTCATATGTTTTTTATAGTTGCATTTGTGATTTCATGGTCTCATTTGATAGAATGGAAGATATATTACAGAAATAGAGAGGATTTTGATTGGTTTTAGTGCTGGAAATGGCTTGAAACTGAGCTCAGAGTAGTGGAAATGTTAAATTTTTGCCGATGTTCAAGAGTAAACAGTGACCTCTCACGTTTAATACACGCCAGCTGGTGGGTCTAATATACGTTCACAAATGTGGTGATATTATTAATACAATTATTACAATACTGCATAACAGTAAATCTTCTATTTTTTGGTTTGAATAAAAATTCATTATGTGAATAAAAAATCAAAATGGAATTCATTTGTAAAGCCTGAAAACATAGCTAATGAACAGAGAAAATGTTAGTTTAGTGCCAGGAATGCCTGCATTGTTTATTCTGGATCCTATTTTGAAATTGGAATATTTTGAACTTTGCACTAAATTGGCCAAATTACCAATTTCCGATCACTTTATTTTGTAGTTGAAACAGTTGACTTGGCGATTTCTTGTGCTCAGTCGATAGAATAGAAGTAATACTAGTGAAATAGCTAAGAATTTGGTCGACTGGAATAATGTAATTGGCCTAAAATGGGAGTCAAAGTTGGCAAAATTGCCGATGTGTAAATATTGCTGACACATTAAAATTTGTGAGAGCATAATTTCGTCAATTTTCCATAAAATTTTGTACTTTTTGTTTTATTACCTTCAGAAAAAGATTCTCTACCATTTCGTAAGAAGAAATAACAAAATTATTTTTTGAAAATTCTTGGACCCTGGTGCACACTTTGAAATTTGGCCTCTGGACCCTGAAAAGGTTAATGCTCACCTGATGGCAACATCGAGTCCTGACACTTAAGGAAGTGTTGCCAATATACCATTTTTTCTAATTATTTTATATAATTTTTATGTTCTGATAATGACAGTTTATTGTAGTTCTTGGCATTTCATAACCAATTTTTGTTCTGACACTAATATTAGGTATTGAAATTGTACTCAAATTGTCACAAACACATTGACAGGTGATCATTTACACCTGCCTTGGTCATTTACTATTGTCTAGGAATCTTCTTTCTTTCAACACACCGGCCATATCCCACCAAGGCAGGGTGGCCCAAAAAGAAAGTTTATCTTTTTAAATTTAGTAATTTATACAGGAGAAGGGGTTACTAGCCCCTTGCTCCCAGCATTTTAGTTGCCTCTTACGACACGCATGGCTTACAGAGGAAGAATTCTGTTCCACTTCCCCATGGAGATAAGAGGAAATAAACAAGAACAAGAACTAGAAAGAAAATAGAAGAAAACCCAGAGGGGTTTGTATATATATGCTTGTACATGTATGTGTAGTGTGACCTAAGTATAAGTAGAAGTAGCAAGATGTGCCTGAAATCTTGCATGTTTATGAGACATACAAAAGACACCAGCAATCCTACCATCATGTAAAACAATTACAGGTTTCCGTTTTACACTCACTTGGCAGGACGGTAGTACCTCCCTGTTCGGTTGCTGTCTACCAACCTACTACCTATATGTCTAGGAATACAGTGGAACCTCAAAAATCGAACGTATCACATATCGAATGTTTCGAAAATAAGACCATTTTTTCGGACAAACTGTGTCCCTATTATCAAACGCGTCCCTATTTTCGGACCGCCAGGTACAGGACCTGTCCGCTGGCCCGCTCTGTCCGCGTCCCCGCACAGGCGCCGTGAGCAGTCTAGCTTTGTTTATGCTTGAGTGAACACTAACCTGCGATCTCATTCACACATTTTACGATTACATTGGACCCCCGGTATTCGATGGCATCGGTATTCGATAAATCCGGTTTTCGATGCATTTTAACGCAAAAATTTTTCCTCGGTATTCGATTGAAAACCCGGTATTCGATACGATTCGTACGAGACCTGCCCACGTGTGGCCTGAACTGCTCCGTGTGTGCTAGTGTTTACAAGCCAGCCAGTGCGCGTGCATCTAAGGATACATTTGGTACATTCCATATTATCACTGTGTTTGGTGCTTGTTTCTGCAAAATAAGTCACCATGGGCCCCAAGAAAGCTTCTAGTGCCAACCCTCCAAGAAAAAAGTCGCTAATGACTTATGAAATGAAGAAAGAGGTAATTGCAAAGTACGAAAGTGGAGTGCGTGTGTCGGAGCTGGTCAGGTAGTATAATAAACCCCAATCAACCATCTCTACTATAGTGACCAGGAAAACGGCAATCAAGGAAGCTGTTCTTGCAAAAGGTGCAACTGTGATTACGAAACAGCGACCGCAAGTGTTAGAAAATGTTGAGAGATTGTTACTGGTGTGGATAAATGAAAAACAGATAGCAGGAGATAGCATCTCTCAAGCGATGCAGTTGCATGACGATTTGGTAATGAAATTGCCTGCAACTAGTGGTGATGTGAGTGAATTTAAAGCCAGCAAAGGTTGGTTTGA